AAATATTTAATTAAGTTAAAATTAATATTTGTTAAAATATTTATTTATATATAATATATTGAAAAAAGTATTTAATATGTTACAAAAAAATTTATAGACTGTATTAACAAACAAAATATTTAAATTAGTTAGAATTAATGTTTGTTAGAATATTTACTTATATATAATATGTTATAAAAAAAAATACTTACAGACTATATTGACAAATAAAATATTTAAACTAATTAGATTTAGCTTTTATTAGAATCTTTACTTGTATATAAAATATTATAAAAAAAAAATCATTGTATATTTATAAAGGTTTTGTAATATATAGCAGATAATTATTAATCAAATTAGACTATTTGAAGACTTAAGTTATATTCAAGTTGGCTTATAATTTAATTTGAAAAAGTTAATATAAACTCTTAGTAAACTATTTAAACCAACTTAAAATCTGTTTAATATAATCTAATATTATTAAATTAAATCTTATAAATAAAATTAAATACTAATAAATAATTTTTAAACCAATCTAAAATCTAATTAGACAATCAAATAAGTTATATGCAAGAGCTAAAATTATTAAGAAAATAGACAACTGTCCAAACATATTATAAAAAAAATTAGATTTTTTTTATTTATTATTTTATAATATTATATTAGTAAAAAATTTTTGTACTAATTTGAAATTATTAATAAATTATAGTAAGAGCCAAAATCAGTAATTAAAGCTTGTTATTCAAAAACTAAAAACCAAAACTCAAATAATATTATAAATACAACCTGAATTTAAAAAATTTTTGAAGATATATTCTTAAATTAATCTTATTATTTAAATTATTTAGTATAGAATAATTGAAACAAATATATAAAATTTTTGATAAAAATTTGATTTATTTAAAAATATAACAAATTATAAGCAAATATGCAATTAATAATAAGAGAATAATTTGTTTATCTTATACTTTTAAAAAAATAATCTTTATATACTAATAAAAAATAATTGAAATAGATTAAATTAAAATTTGTATGAATTTGTTTATAATCTAAAAGATAATTTTTATTAATACATATTAGGTTTATAATTATTATCAAAATTAAACTTATAATTTTTAATACTAAGAGTTATAAAAAATTATAATTTTATATTTTTATAATATTAACTTTTAAATCTATGTTTTTTAATTATAATTTTAGTAAAAAGTTATATAATTTATTAATTACTAAGTAAAATTATAGAATTTTTATTCATAGTATTAATCTATTTTGCAAAAATATTTTTATTATTATAAAAATCAAATTTTATTATTTTTTATAAATTTAATCTAGTCTAATAATTTAAAAAGTATATTATAATTTTCTAAAAAAATATATTATAATTTTTAAAAAATATTTTTTTAATATATTTATAAAATTAAATTTTGTTGGAGATAGTATATAATATAAAATTAAAAAATATATATACAATGCTAATTCATTAAAATTTATAATTGTTTTAAATTTAATAGAATCTTGTATGACTTTTATATCTTATACTTAATTTTTCAGATTTAAAATTAATAAGTAACAAATAAATTATTATTTAAAATAAAAGAAAAACTATATTTATATAAAATCAAAAAATTATTTTTGCTGTTTATATTAAAAGCTTATTTTATAAATACAAAAATCTTTTTTGTAAAATAATATATTAATATGCTTAAGATATTAACTTTTATTTTTAAATTTTTTAGAAGTCATTAGTATTTGTAATATTATATTTAATAAAAATTTCTTTTATACTAATTTTATTTTCTTGTATAATTATGTATAATAAAAATTTTTATTATTGTTTTGTTTATTATTAATTTTTATTTATTTATAAAACTATTTTTAAAAAATATATATAAAATTAATTATTTGTATTATCTTAAATTTAAGATAAAAAACTTATATTTTTATTAAAAAAAATTTTAATATATATTAATTTTATTGTTATATTTAGAAGTTAGTATTGAAACTTAATTTACTAAACAAACATGTTTAATTATTATTTAAATTTAGATCAAATAATAATAAAATTATTTTTTTATTTGAAAATAAATAGTAATATTAAATAAAATAATTAAATTTTAAATAAAATAAATAAATAACAATTAATAAAAATATAAAAATTTAATATCTAAATTTTTTAATATAATTTAATAATATAATTATCAAAATAATTAAATTTTTTAGTATAGTATACAATTATACTATTATATATATTATTCAAAAACTATGTTAGTTTATTATAGTCATTACTATTCATTGGTTCAATAGGTCTTTTGATTTCACAAATAAGTTCATATATTATTATTTTAGAATCATTCTTTGGTACATATGCAATTGCAATATTAAATTTTTAACTTACAGTTTTTGATACTTTAGTATTATTATAGTTATATAATATCTTGTGTACTTTATTAAACTATTTTAAAATAAATCTATTCTTAAATATGTTTATAATAATATTAAATTAAAATTTTATATTCTTATAATAAATATTCTTTACCAGCAATAAAATATCCTTTTAAACAGAATTGTTGTAAAGAATCAATTAAAATTTAAATAATAACATTAAATAATTTTTAATGTAACATTGTTATAAACATTTTCAAAAATAGATTTATGCTAATATAATTGAAAAAGTGAAATAATTCACAAAAACATATGAGTAATTCTTTATTATTAATAAAAAAAAAATATATAATTTAAACGATCTAATTTAAAAAACAATTAAGTTAAACATGACTGAATACATCAACTAGAGTTGGGAATTATACAATATAATATTTATTATACAATATAACTGTATAATTTTTGACCCTAACTCCAAACTCAATATTACATGACCGAACCATAGACTACAAATTCTCGAGGTACCAAAATCCATCATTATGACGATATCGTTATTGATCAGCTTAAACAATTCAATTCATTAGAAACCTAAGCTAATGTAAAACTGTTTACTGCATTATGATGTGATTTAACAGCTAAATAGTTTGAAAAACATTTAATTGAAACAAAAGCTAATTGGCTTCGTTTACATTTTATACGCATTCATCAACCATGCTTCCAAGATAATCAGTTTCAAAATTTACAAAATTAGTGTAATGATTTTTTTAGTAAAGTATCCAAATAAGATTTTTGACTCGGAAGATTTTACAACAATTCAAGAAAATGCATTAGTTACTCTTATTAAACGAGATGATTTACAAATGGAAGAAGTAAAAATTTGGAATTGTGTCGTCAAATGGGGAATTGCACAAAATCCAGGTTTATCATCCGGTAAACTTGAAAATTGGACTGATGAAAGCTTTCTAACTTTAAAAAATACATTAAAGAATTGTTTACCTCATATACGTTATTTCAAAATATCCGGAGATGACATTGTTGATAACATAGAACTATACCGATCAATCTTAGAAAAAGAACTTTGGAAAGACATGCTAAAACGAATGGCAAACCAAAATCGATAAATATCATCAATAGTTCTTCCACCTCAGGTAATTTTAACACCAAAATTACCAACTCGTGCGACGGATCCATTTTCAACAGTAATTACTGAAAAACACGCTGCCGAAATTGCAACAAGGGTTGATAAGAGAAATAATCCATATTCAGTAGCAAATAACCCGATGAGTTTAAATTACGTGGAACCAGAGATGGTTTACTAGCAAATCATTTTGGAAAAGATGTGACAAGCATGCAAATACTATTGTGCTAATGAAAGTAAAAAATTCCGATGAAATTCTTGGTGGTTAAAATCCTTTAAAATGGGATAGATCAATTATTAAATGGGTAAATTGCAAAAATAGCTTTATTTTTTCATTGAAAAACCGTACTATTCCTTCCTCTATTTTAAGTCATGTAAAAAATTCACAACGTGCAATTTATTGTGCTCCGAATTGTGGTCCAGTTTTTTGTGATCTTCGCATGTTTAATGATTTTAATCGAGATAATGGATGTGATTATTGTTTTAATAATATTTATGAAAAAGAAATTAGAAATGCAAATGCAGACTTCAAATTTTCAGTGACAGAATACGAAATGATCCAAATGCAAAGAAAATAAAGTTAAAGGTAGTTAAAGTTTAGAACTTGAGTTTTTTTAGTTAATGTCGCATAAACAGTTTATACATACAGTTGATAGTTTTTTAAGTGACGACAAGAGTGATCTTAATGTATTTAAGGAGCAAATAAACGTAGAATTCACAAATAAATTTCATACTCAGAAATATGTTTATTTTTGATTGATCAATAATGTCATAAAATTCTATCATATAAACCATAACTTATGTCATAAAGCATCATAATGCAATGCATCGGAGAATAAATTTTACTTAATGGAAAATGTTTAAGAGGATCAAATGTGTTTATTTAAAATAAACATCGTAGTTTAACAAAATTTATTGGGTAATTGATACATTTTTATTTGTAAAAAAATAATTGAGTATTCAAAAAGATCACACAAGTAACCTTATCATACAACAACTAAATATAAAGATAGTGATAAGTGCCAATTCAATTCTTATTTTGATTGGTTATAGTTAGTGATGGGCAATACGCATGATTTGTATATATACTCATAATGCCGGTAAAGCAATATAATGCTGGTAGATTATCTAATTCCTATGCACGGATTTATTAAAATGGTAGATTGGTGTGAAATTCTATATTTATTAACTTATATATTGATGCTTACATTTGTTTTTCATTACAATTATATATATTTAATTCGTATGAATAAAACTTTATTCATCATGAAGTCACTACGTATAATATTTCGAAAACTCAAAAGATTCCACATCACTAATAGATATATAATACAAATATGATAAATGCCTATATAATTATATATATTTACACCTTTCTTATAGAATATAAACTATAGATCACAAGGTCTATTATTTATAATTTATATTTTGAACCAATATATGGTAATAATGAAATTAGAGAATCTTCTCGTTGGGCCATAATTTCTTTTCCAATCTGCATTTATAATTCTAATGGAATAATCTGTGTACCATGTGGTGGAACTTCAATCCCATTATAATATAAAGTCATGTTTGACATTTGAAATGTATTTAAAGACTTTGAAGGTGTAGAACGTCCACCAATAAAAAATTTACTACTTCCTCCTTCAGTTAGAGATGAAGAATCAACACATTGTGATGGTATTTGATGCTATCTTGCATTGTATAAGTGATCGACTTGGTTAATAGTGTGTGATGAAAAATTAGAACTACTGTTTTGGAAATTATTTTAAAGATTATTTTTGAGATTGTTTTGAATTTTGGGTATATCGCGAGAGGTGATAGTACCAGTTTCCTGATGTGAAAGTGATGAAACACGAAATATATAACGACGTTTGAAGTAGCTAAAACAACAAAATCCTATTATTATTGCTATAACTATTAATATTCCAAAAACTATTCCAAGTATTTCCTGATATAAATTGAAATTAATCAGCATTTACATATGTGCATTTGTATTTAACTTTACCTATTATAGGTATTGGCATTGTTGCTGTACTGGGCCTTCATTTGTCGAAGAACGAATTTCAATTGTACTTATGGAATGAGATGAAGATATTATATATGGTGAAATATCTGGTTCTGACTCATCTCGTTTTTCTGGATGGCTTTTGAGTTACGGACGGGGAGACTGAGCGGTTTCGAATAAACGAAAACAATCATCATCCTTGACGTTCTCACTTATAACATAAGGTATTTAGCGATCTAATTAAAGTATAACATGTATAATACTAAAATATTAATTTAGTAGAATTGCATGTTCTTCGGGCACAAGACATCAAGATCGGTTTTTTTATTTATCCATAATGTCATTCATAATTTGAGGCTTTTTTTTCATAAAAAATTTTCGGAATTTTATTTGAAATAATTTTAGATATTAATACAACAAGGAAGTGAGAAAACAAACATAAAAGAAAGTCAAAGAAATCTCAAATAATGGAGAATGGAAATGAATATTTGAAAAACAAGTTTTAGTATTTATCGCCGGTTGCGATATCACCACCTCTTTTTTTTTTAAAAAAAAAATCAAATTTAGGGTTATGGTGCAATTTTAGACCGAAGTTAGGATTAAATATAAAGATTCAGATTTAAGTTAGGGTGGTCCTGAGCATTTTTACTTAGTACCCCTAACATGTGCTAGCTAGTAGATTTTTGAGATATGGTGCCCCTGTGATATCGCCACCGGCGGTATATAGCAACATTTTTTTAAAATTTCTTTTTTTATAAAAATTTTTAAATAAGGCTAGGCGGTTGGATATATTTTAATAACATGAAATATATTTACTGTGATAAATAATTTAAATAAAATTCATTCATTGTTTATATGACATCATAATTAGCTATAGAGACAAGGTATTTGAATAGATAAATTAATATCTTATATTATGGATTAGTAAATTATAATTATTAATACGCACACGAAATATCATCATCATTAGAAATTGAAAATTCGAGTGTAGTAGAATCTTTAAAAAAAAATTTTTAAAAAGATAAAAATCTTATCGATTAAAATTGAAAATATTATAGTAAGAGAAAATTATTTACTATAAACTTTCACCGATTTTACAGTTGCAATAAAGGAAGAATTAATTGGCTTAGAAAGGTTTTTAGAGTTAAGCAGTTTATTTGTAAGTTTATCTTTAGAGAAAATTGGCAATTCTGTTAATAATGTTGGAATAATAGCATCTGCAGACTGGAATCCCTTTAATAGTATTAATTCATCTTTATTTTTCGCACTACTATTATCTAATATCTTATACCATATTGATAATTCTTTATGTATATTAGATGCTGTTGGTATATCAGAAGGATTAACATTCATACATTGATTTGCTAATTGAATATAACACCCAGGAGTGTCTTTAGCAAATTCAGGACGTAATCCATTGCAGATTTTATAGCTAACGTTTCATCATACTCAATATCAAAATGAGGAGGTCTTCCTGTAGATATCTCAGTCATAATAATACCAAAACTATAAATATCAGCCGCTGTTGTATATGGATTTTATTTAACACTTCTGGCGCAACATAAGGTAAAACGCCATAAATACCATCTACCAAATCAGAAGCATTCTTCTTTCTGCAATATAAGATATTATATTATTATTAATTTATTGATTTTGCAATATATTACCATTATGAAAATCTCCATGGACATATTCTGCTTCGTGTACTTTTATTAAATTTTCAGATATATCGACAAGCTGGTTTAATTTACTTTTCCAATTAATGGCTCTAAAATTTGAAGATAGAAAATTATGAAGGCTCCCTCTATTTGCATATTGAAATACCATCAAATATTCATTATTAATCGTGTCTTGAGTTAGTCCATATACTTCAAGATATAACCCATTAATCTAAATTCAGTGTAACTTTTAAACTTATTAATTAAAATAAAATTTATAATGTTAATAGTTTATCTATAATTTGTTTATATTAAATCATAAATAAATAATTTTAACTTACTTCTCTTAGAAAACTCTTTCGTGAGCCAGGTAAAGTTTTAAGTGCAACTACACATGACGGTGTACGTGATTGTACATAGTCATATCTAGTGCCTGAAGCTATTCTTTTACATCTAACCACGTTGCAGAAAATACAGAGCCAAATCCTCCTTCACCAATCTTTTGAACATTAACTAATCTATTAAAAGGAATCCACTCGATTACATTTTCCAGGGTTGTCATTGGACTTATTCCAGTCTCTCACGAGTTACTGGACTGGACTGGACTGAAATTCGTATAAGTCCAG